CAAATTTTAACATATGTTAGGTCAAATTAGTATAAGCCAAATTAACGTTAGTAGCATATGAAAACTAAGTTAGTTTAAGGCTAGTTTTATGTAAATACCCCTTGTTAAAGCTACAGGCCAAAGTTAACTCATGCTAGGCAAAGTCAGCACATTCACCACATAACAGAGACTCAGAGATAAAACAAAAGAACTCACTAATTGACAGACTCAGCAAACAAAATTCAGAAACCCACGGATTTTTTTTAAAAAGGAAAAGCCTGACTGGTGACAACAGGATGAACAAACCTGAAGGCTCCAGAGAAAGATGAACTATCTTAGCTGGGAGCTCTTATCTAAAGCAACAGGTAGTTTTCAGCTACAAAGAGTTTCTCATCTATGTGCTGTCGACTATGAAAAACTGCTAATAAAACATCCTGTGTTGTCTCCTGAGCTACAAGATCATCTTCCTTTCCCATATAAGATCATAGACTCACCCTCTATTGTTGTAATGTATAGATAGTCCATATATTAACTGTGTCTTTACTTAGCAAGACAAGATATCTATCTAGGTCTTTGCAACCAGTGCCGCCCTGGCCCGGGACTGATGTTACCAAGCTTCCTGCAAGCCCCCCTTTTCAAAAGACCCTGTCCGGTAATCAAGACTGAAGGAGAAAATGCACCAGACAAATAGAGACGCTTTCATTCTGAGAACTGTGTTTGGCTTTACCTGTTCAAACAAGACAGACATCATGTTTTATGACCATTGTTCCTGTGCTTTGAATTCTGTTTCATCGAATAAATCTTTTATTTCCTCCTCATCCCCCCTATATCCCTCAATAAACACGTGTGTTTGATAGCTGCTAGTGCGGCAGCCTGGAGCTGGCTCTGGCTGTGGCCGGCTGAGAACATGCTAAGAGGCATTGAGGTCTTAGTCTAATTTCTGTTCCTGATCACCCGTGTCACTTTCCTGTGTCTGAGTCCCAAACCCACCCCTGCCTAGGCTGGACCCTGGCACTTGTCGCAGTTATTTCTCAAAAGAAATTCTTCGTCTTGTTTGTACCATGAAATTACATTTTAAGGATGGAGATGGGATGGGATCAGCAATTGGCATAGTAGCTATGTTGCTGGACTCCTATGTAGTTGACTGCTGTTCAAGTCCCAGACCCGGGGTGGCTTAAACTCATGCCAGGGGCATGTACGTGCGTGCCTGGGATCCTGAAAGGAGAATGGAGGAGAAGGTATTGCAGCATGGTCATCCCCCCAGTGTGATTTCTTGCTTTCTGTCTGTCTTTCTCTGTCTTTCTGGCGAGTGTGCACATCCTATAGCAAAATCAAGCAAACAAAACAAAACAAACAAATCTCAAAAAGAAAAAGAAAAAAGGATGGAGATGGGAGTTAAATTCTTCTTTAAAAAAAAACTAAAAGAATTATTGGGACCAGCAGATGGTGTAACATTTACGTTGCTGGACTCCTGCGTAGTCATCCGCAGTTTGAGTTCTGGAACCAGTGGCTTAAAACTCACACCAGGCGTGGGACCAGCAGTTAGCGTAATGGCTATGTCGTTGGACTCCCACATAGTCGACTGGTCCGGGTGGCTTAAAATTCACGCCGGGATTTCACGCTTTCTGTCTCTCTGTCTCTCTCTGTCTGTCTGGCGAGTGCACGTGCCCTATAGTGAAAACCTCTCAAAAAACCAAAAAACAAAAAAACCTCACATCAGGCGTATGTGTGTGGGTGCTCAAAATCTCAAGAGGAGACAGAGAAGAAGGGATTGTGGCGTGGTCATCACTCCTGGGGTGTGATTTCTCACTGTCTCTCTCTTTCTGTCTTTGTCTCTTCAACAAGTACACACGCCCTATAGCAAAAATCTCTAAAAAAAAATTAAACAAAAGAATTATTGGGACCAGTAGATGGTGTAATGGTTACATTGCTGGACTCCCATGTAGTTGACTGCAGTTCGAATCCCAGACCCCTACCAGCTTGAAATTCATGCCAGGCGTGAGTGCATGCATGCCCAAAATCTTGAGAGGAGAATGGAGGTGGGATTGCAGCACGGTCATTTCTCCAGGGGGTTGATTTCTCTCTTTCTGTCTCTCCGGTGAGCATACGCATCCTATAGCCAAAAATCTGTCTAAAATATATATATATATACACACACACATATGTATTTAATTTTATTTATGATTATATTTTTATTTGCTATAGGACACATGCACTCACCAGAGAGAGGCCGAGAGAAAGAGAAGAGAAAGTGAGAAAGCAAGCTGACAGGTCTGGGACTCAAACTGCAGTCAGCCACATGGGAGTCCAGTGCCTTAATAACCATGCCACCTGCTGGCCCCATAAATTCTTTTTTTTTTTTTTTTTTTTTGGGAGGAGGGGCTTTTGTTATAGGG